GGGGAGCCGATGGGCGGGAGCGGGGCCGGGTCCCCGGAACGCGTCCCGGGGCTTGCGGGCTGAGCGGGGGCGCGGCGCGAACTGGGTCTACATCGGGAGGCGGCCCGGAGATTGGACCGAGTGGGGGCGGAGACCGCGGCCGCCTGCGCGGTTCCGGGTGCTCCCGCCGCGCGCAGCCCAGGGCGCACTTGACCGGGGTCTGGCTGCGGGGAAGGGCGGGTCTGGGGAGAACCCCAGAGCGCCGCGGCGTCCTCCAGCCCCTCCCTCGCGGCCGCCGGAGCTACAGCCCGAGCCGGAGCCGGCTCCACCTCGCCCCCCGGCTCGAGTGCCCCCAGCCATGGCTTTCGCCAATTTCCGCCGCATCCTGCGCCGGTCTACCTTCGAGAAGAGAAAGTCCCGCGAATATGAGCACGTCCGCCGGGACCTGGACCCCAACGAGGTGTGGGAGATCGTGGGCGAGCTGGGCGATGGTGCCTTCGGCAAGGTTTACAAGGTGAGGGCGCTGTGTTGGTGGTGCGGGGCTCGGGGCGCGTGGAGAGGCTCCGGAAGGAAGGGGCGCTGGCCCTGGTCAGTCTCGGCCACGGCTCGGGAGAACGCAGAGGGCTGCCCGGCCCTGAACTCGGAGTCCTGGGGTCCTGTCCTGGTGATCCTTGTTCTTCGTTGGGGTCGGGGGTGGGGTATCCTCACACAGCCCGGCTGAGTCCCTGCGTGCCGGACGCCCCCTCCGGGCACGGCTGCTGCCCCCGAGCTAAGTTTCTGAGCACTTCCTGTGCGCCCTGCACGGCTCTCGGCGCCGCAGGGGGAGACAAAGGGGGCGCTTATAGGACTTTAGCATCTGAGACGAGGCATCCGCGGTAAAACTGATACTAGGCATACTTTTTAAGGGAGGCCACTCAGATTCTGTGAGAGTGCCGAGGCGATGGGGGCAGAGAAACTCGGCTGCGTCTGGAAGGGTTGAGTCCGGTGAAGTTGGGGACACACCTGAAGACGAGCCAGAGACGGGCGAGACAGGAGGTGGAGGGCGGTGTTGTCTAGAGTGAGAGGTTAGGCATGGAAATGTGGGCTGGGGCTGGGCAGAGGGGAAAGTCGGGGCCTCGTGGATCCTGCGCTTCGGGGTCAGATTTGAGTGTGTGGATGAGTCACAGCTGGGGAGTCTCCCAGTCTGCAGTCACCTTTCCCTAGAAGAATAAAAGGCCAGAGAGCTTTTGTGGAGGGGTAGGTGGGGCAGAGCTGATTATTTGTAGACACGTTTGCAGCAGGCCATTGTCTGATTTCTGGTGCTGAGAACGCATTCTGAGTTGCTCGGTTGTATTGGGGACCCAAACACTTAGAGCTTGACTCCACGCTTTTCCTGATCTCCTTTCCCCCAGGAAACTCTTTACTGAGAGAAACCCACATGTTAAGCTGGTGGTTTCTACAGGAGGGCACCTCCTTCCTAAGCCACCATCACCTTCTTTGGGGCTCCTATAGCTTGTAGATCACTCTGACCCCAGGGTTTCCCTTTGAGGAGCCTGGACCACAGAGAGAGCTTCTCTAGGCCACCCCTGGTCAAGACTTGCTCTCTTTGCCTTGAAAGTGGTGGAGAGCCTAATCACCAAAGTGTAGTCCCCGGAGGAGTACCACCAGCATCACCTGGGAGCTAGTTAGAAATGCAGAATCTCAGGCCCCACCCTAGACCTAATAAATAATAAAGTAGGGTCTGCATTTTAACAGATGCCCAGATCCCCCTGATTAGAATCCCCCATGTTACTTGCGCTTTAAGTTTGAGAAACATTGCTCTAGGGGCAATTTTGAAGTCACCCAGGCCCCTCAGGGTGCCTCTTTTGTTACCTTACCACCTCCCCACGGAGCCAGCACTTCCTTTTACAGGGTGAAAGCCCCACTGGAGCAAAGGTTCTGTGGTTGGGAGGCTGGCCTCTGTGACACTCATACCTGTGGCTCTCAGCTGCCTTGATTTGCTGCCTTTCTCTGCCTGAGGGTTCTGCCCGTATTCCAGGGCCCTCAGCGCATACTTCACTCACACATCTTTTCTTTCCCCTTCTCAGAGATGCCTCTTCCTCCTAGCGGCCCCAGGAAACTGTCCTCAGTCTTGCGGCCCCGCCGGACACCCCACCGGTGTACTTGCCTTCCCCTGATGGAGCCTGCTCTGCCAGGTGTGCTCTGACCACCGTGAGAACAGCTGGACCCTTGGTCAGCTCACCACATCCCCCGCTTTCTCCAGAAGGTTAAGTTGGTGTTTTTAGTGCATGACGTTGTTCTGTTAGGGGCTGACTTTCCATTGCAGTCTTGTCCCTGTCCCCTAATGAATCCTGGCTTCATAAGGTTCATTTTCTTTCAAACCTAAATACAGAACTTTGCTTCTAGGCTGGTAAGATTTCCCCTTGTCAGTTTCGACTGTCATTTCCTCCTGCTTTAGCCCCATAAAACTCCCTTACAGCTCTGAAAGTTTCATACAAAGGAGCCCATCTGATTCACAGGTTATTTTGTCTCCTCCTGGTTCTCCAGAGCACGTGAACCCTGTTAAAAGTGAGTCTAGTGCTCAAAGCTGTGAGCCGGCTGCACCACAAGCCCCTCCCCACCACCTCCGAACCCATGATTTTCTCATAATTAAGACAAGGGGAAGGTAGATCAGGAGAGCTGTGTGATGGCTGACACAGCTGGACATTTATTAGGTTCCCTGCCTGGCCTTAGTGTGTGACCCTCCGATCTAACCCAACCCCATGTTACACGCAGGAATACAGGGGCTCAGGGAAAGGAAGGGACTAGAACCCAAGGCTCTGGGCTTAGTTACCAGCTAAGGAAGACCCGTCTTGGATCAGAGATCCCTGTGACCTCGTCTCCTACCCTGGAGAAGTACTGCTTAGTCAGCCCCTTAGAGTTGAAATTGAAGCAGGTATTGCTTTACTAAAGATTCTAATCAGGGACCATAACTCCTTCCCACTTCATTGTTCCCTGGCATGGCCATTTCAGCAGCACAGGCCAGAGGTTCCATCTAGGTTTTATGTCTGGGACCAGAACTTCCATTTTGACGTGGCACCTTGGTAACCAGTTGGCTGCGAGCTGGTGAAATGATGGCCAGCAGCACCTCCTCTCCCTGTCCTAGAGCTAGCAGATTTTTCTCCTGGCAGCCTAGGTGGTGAAGGCCTTTCTGAGGATTTCGCTGGTGTAAGAAGCCATAGGAATCCCAATTGGTCAAAGGCTTGTCAGAAGAGGACTCCAATTACAGATTTCCTGAGGAGTGTCTTGCAGAGGCTCAAAGCCTAATGTCTTGAGACATTAGTGTCGCACGATATGGAGCCTCTTTTCCCCTCTTCTCCCTGATAAATCATCAGTTGATCTTGGGAGAAAAAGAGGCTCGTAGGATTGATTTTTTGCACAGTCAAGTTCATGCTCACCTACTCCTTAAGCGATTTCAAAAGAAAATCATTCCTAGTTCATTACTAGATACAAAGTAAAAGTCACAAGCTATATAGTTTCAAAATTCTTGCCCTTAATAATAATCTTTATTCTAAAGACAAGATGGAAAGGAAAGTGTTTGATATCGGGTTGAATGGAAGAAACTGCCTTCAGCCAGGTGTGCCCGCTGTCCTAGCTGTGGGTGAAACAGGTACTTATGTGCTGAACAGAGACAGGGAGCATGTGGGCATGAAGAGTTGGGTTAACAGGCTGAGATGATTTTTCTGCTTCTTGAAAATTGCTGTAGTTGTCATCTTATGTTGTCTTTAAGCTTTTAAAAGGTTTATGATTTTGCAAAATTAGGTGTATAGTACAAATTTTTTTTTAATTAAAAGGAAAAACATTACCCTAAGTCCCATCAGTTGCTGTTGACATTTTGATATATTTCCTTCCAGACTTAATCGATTTTTATGGAGAAAAACATTTTTTTAATGCAGGGTTGTAATAATACACACCTACAGTGTTTTATGTTATCTTTCATTCCTAAAGCCTCTTCCTGTGTTATTCTAAATGCTTCACACATACCTTCTGGGATGGCTCAGTGCCCCCATGATTTTAATCTTATTGGATATTTAAGTAATTCCTACCCCCCCATTTTCTTTTTACTATTAACAAGTTAAAAAATTTTTTTTAATAAATTTATTTATTTTTGGCTGCACTGCGTCTTTGTTGCTGCATGCAGGCTTTTCTCTAGTTGCGGTGAGTGGGGGCTACTCTTCGTTGTGGTGCGTGGGCTTCTCACTGTGGCTTCTCTTGTTGCAAAGCACGGGCTCTAGGCACGCAGGCTTCAGTAGTTGTGGCATGCGGGCTCAGTAGTTGGGGCTCAAAAACTTCATCAGCACATTAGAAAAAAATAAAGATAGGAACCTAAAAAACAAGTAGCACCGTTTTACACAAGTTTTGCAGATACGAAAGACAAAATTTATCACAATAAATACAACACTGAACTGGGAAAGAGGTCTGCAAGGATGCTTGTGGCTGTGGGTGGGAAGCATTGCAGTATGTGAAGCTGTGGAAGGAGGGTTATCTGAAAAGAGGGTTATCTGAAATCAGGGGGCACGTTGGACCCCCAGGTGGGGTTGGTGTGGCTTAAAGGTTGCTGAGAGATGTTTGAGGTGCCTGTGCCATTTGTGCATTCCTTTGCTGCTCAGCTCATCTGGGTGAAGTTTTCTGTGTTTACCTAGTGTTTCTGGCAGAGAGAACAGAACATAAGCAAATGTGAATTTAGCGTTTTGATAAAATTGTTACCTAATACATCAGTGGCCTTGGAACAAAACTGGCATTTTTTAAAGTAAACTTTATAGCAAAGCTGACTGTATATTTTTATTTATTTATTTTTGGCTGCATTGGGTCTTTGTTGCTGCGCGCGGGCTTTCTCTAGTTGCGGCGAGCGGGGGCTACTCTTCGTTGCGGTGCGTGGGCTTCCCATCGCGGTGGCTTCTCTTGTTGTGGAGCATGGGCTCTAGGCACCCGGGCTTCAGTAGTTGTGGCACGCGGGCTTCAGTAGTTGTGGCTCACGGGCTCTAGAGCGCAGGCTCAGTAGTTGTGGCGCACGGGCTTAGTTGCTCTGCGGCATGTGGGGTCTTCCCGGACCAGGGCTCGAACCCATGTCCCCTGCATTGGCAGGCGAATTCTTAACTACTGCACCACCAGGGAAGCCCTAAGCTGACTCTATATTGATGAACAGCTTTGCTTGTAAAGTTTTTGTATTTTTTTTTTTTTTTTTCTTGCGTTATGCGGGCCTCTCACTGTTGTGGCCTCTCCCATTTGCGGAGCACAGGCTCCGGACGCGCAGGCTCAGTGGCCATGGCTCACGGGCCCAGCCGCTCCGCGGCATGTGGGATCTTCCCGAAACGGGGCACGACCCCGCGTCTCCTGCATCGGCAGGCGGACTCTCAAGCACTGCGCCACCAGGGAAGCCCAAGTTTTTGTATTTTAAATCATTTTTTTACGCTAGACTCCTAGAAGGGAGTTACTTGGTTGAGGGAGTGATGCATGGCTCTTTGAGGGTGGTTTTTTTGTGTTTTTTTTTGTTTT